GGCTGCTCTCTCTTCCCCCCTTTTTTTATTTTATTTTATTTTAATAGTCTAAAGTAAATAATTTTAATAGCTTCATATTTTCCGATGTTGTATATTTTTAAAATGCTCTTAACTAAGAATTTCTAAAACTACAAAGTATGGCATAACAGAATATCATATCTTTGAAGCCTTCAGATCTTTTCCTTAAACTGAATACAGGATACCACGGGAAGGAGATGCTACTCCGTCTTGAAGACTTTTCAGCATAAGCTGTAATACACCATATACTTCAGTCTAAATTAAAAACTAAATATAATAAGAATTATGGCTGCTATTCGGTGTAATATCTTTAATAGTCTAAAGTAAATAAATTTTATTTTAATAGTCTAAAGTAAAGTTTTTATTATTTCTTGTCCTCTAAGGTGTAGCATTTAAAATTTGAGATAATCTAGGTATATATTTGTCAGAAATCCAAGATGAAGTGTGGGTTAGATTATATAGCAAAGTATACATTAAATTTATTTCATTTCTTATAAACAGCAAATCTTTCAATTTTAACAATAAGGAAAAATTGATACTTGCAATTGATAAAGTAATTAAACAGTAAGAAAAGAAAATAATCATTAAATTTCAAAAATCTTGGCTTTTTAAAAGTTGTCTAATAATTATTCTTTGCGACAGACTTTCACCTCCTTTTAGAATAAAAACGTATGTCGTCATATCTGATCCGAGTAAGACAGTTTGTAGTCAGCAAAAATTTAAAAAGACTACAATTCATTTCATTATCTGAACCAACAACTGTAAGGCAGCTGCCACTGATTTACCTCTGAAGCCAAATACCTGTTCGGATAAATTCGATTTCACCTTGTGGAGTCTTCTGGATAAAAGAAAAGTCCAGTTTCATAAGTTTATCGGAACCGATTAGCTTGTATTCTAACATAATTATTTTATTATTCGGAATTTGGGATACTGGTCACTGAAGTCGGAAGATTTCAGTCTCAAATATATTCTGTACAAGGTTTGACCAGTTTTTCAAAGTAAAAAGATGCAGTTAATGCAAGATTCAAAATCTCAGCATTCATCGTAGTATTAATTAGCATTTAAGCGCTTTCTTTATTTGTATTCGTATAATGTTAAGCATTAGACCAGCAGTAATGTTAACCGTGATTTTATAAGCACTAGTCACACCGAATAGCAGCCATAATTCTTATTATATTTAGTTTTTAATTTAGAACTGAAGTATATGGTGTATTACAGCTTATGCTGAAAAGTCTTCAAGACGGAGTAGCACCTCCTTCCCGTGGTATCCTGTATTCAGTTTAAGGAAAAGATCTGAAGGCTTCAAAGATATGATATCTGTTATGCCATACTTTGTAGTTTTAGAAATTCTTAGTTAAGAGCATTTTAAAAATATACAACATCGGAAAATATGAAGCTATTTGAAATTAATTTAGAATACGCAATACCATGAGGAAACCATGTAAGTTTCATTACTGTTCACTAAAATAAAGAAAGCTTCATTATGTTAATACAACCAGTTTGTAAGCTATTTATTTATTTTACGCAACGAGTTATTTTACGTTAAATATCTTTACCGTCATTTTCACTTTCCGTTTTCCTGCCAGAATGCTAATTTTAGTTCTCGCGTACTTAAATGAGGTAGAAAGAGAAAAATAAAGTTTAAAGAAATGTTTTAGATTGTTTAGTTCCTGATGAAGTCCAAGTTACTAGTAACAAGAAATTCTACAAGAGCAGTCTGTTTTCGGAGTTGAGTTTTATTCTTGCCAATAGTGCTTGTCACACCAGTAGAGGTTTGAGCTAACTTGCGCGTTAATAATTTCTGCATACCTTTGGCTAACAAGACTTACAACAAGAAGTTTTAATCTGAATTCCTATCACTTGAATTATGCCGAAAAAGTTGTATGGTTTTGTCAGCACAAGAAGTGCCTTCTGGTGAACTATTTGAGTTCTTAATAAAAAGGATTTTCACACATATCTTACATTTTCTGTTTGATTGAGAAAAACATAGTGATAATTCACTTTAGTTTTCCAGAGTCTCGCCTTAGTGTCTGCTTCCTAAATAGGTGAGTCTTTATGAGGTTATTTTAAGATTTACATCTTTCCTGCCACTTCCTCTTTCCGTTTCCCTACCAGAATGCAAATTAGATTGAGTATTTAAGCCGAGATTATTGGATTGTAACACAAAGCACGTTTCTGCCTCTCGAAGCTGTGTTACTAGATTTATCGTGCTCAGATAAGGGTTGTTCTTCGGCTAAGCTGCTGACATTTAAATGATTAGCACTTTAGAAGTTTGAGCCAATTTCGCTTTGAATTATTTGTGTAGCCTTTGAATACTAGACAAGTTGAATTTACTGTTATTTTATGTTACACTGCCACAATTGGTTGGCTGCTTTGTAAGCACGAGTTGTGCATTTATGTTCCAGTTCTGACTTAAAAACCTTTTAACTTTTAAAGACTTTGTAGTTATTTCCGGACGAGCGATAATTGGCTCCAAGTCTGTTAAGAGTGCAAAATCTCTTAGGAGTTTGTACTTAGTTTATGCTAGCAAAGAAGATTAAACTCTACACTAGCACTCAAACAAACTCTAGAGCTATGGCTCAACACAACAAAATGCTTAGCCTGCCCTCCCCAGCATCACAGGCTCCACCGGTTCTCATAAATCACATAGAAGGTTTCGGGTTGATCGTGGATACGTCGATAAAATCCGCAGTTTTGCTGGTAGAAGTTCCCTAATAAACGTTTTGGAACAACTGGATACTCACTTTTTTCTTTACCCATTTGGGGAAGTACGGATGGTCACCATAGCAACCGCCGCACTGCAAGGATAGCTAGTACTGCTGGTACAAATGCATTGGAAAACTTTATTAGGAGAGCCAGGCAGCAAGTATTAAGTTGTATGTATATAAAGCCACTTTCATAGAAGCATTTCATGTGGTGAAAGATAGAGCAAAATTAAAGATTTGCTCAGTAGATACAAGCTTAAGGTTGAAGACCTGACAGAGAGTATATTGAGAAAATACAGCTGGTAAATTTATTGGATGTGAAAAGACCCAATGCAGAAGTTATCAAAATTATACTGCCTATGTTGTTCCTCCAAATACAGGACTTTTTTTTTTAAAGTCGAGAAACCCAAGCACGCTCGAAAATTTATTTGACGTCGAGATAAAACTTGAATGTAGGGGGCTAGAAGAAAGTACACATACGTCAGGATATGGCCCCTGGTTTAGGTGAAAGAATATGATCTGGAGAAATATGAAAGAATATGATTTGTAGATCATTTCATTTGAGAGAGCTGGGGGGAGGGAAGCTTTCAGTCTTCAATGACAGGGATAAAACATGACTGCTGATAAGCCTAGAAAAGACGTCTGCCATTTTCTGTCATTTACATATTCAAGTGTATTCTCAATATTGTCTCTAGGTATCAGCTATGAATACAAAACATCTCCGAATGCAGTTATTTATATTTTTCTTTAAATAATAAATAGCATTATTTGGAAAGAATAGTGAAAATAAATAATAAAATAGAAATCGTAGGATGTACTGATATGTATCAAAGTTTATTTTACTAACATAAAAGTATAGAAAATTTCTCCCCAGAATTAAATTTTAATAATAAATTTTGTTAAACTAAATTTCAGTACTTTAAGCTATGAATATGCCAGTATTCATGTCAGAGATATGGAATATTTCAAAAACTAAGTGGCTTCTTGTAGAATTTACAATTTTTGGATGGATGAAATTAAACAGAATTTAAAAGATTCACATTGAAAAAAAAAAGAGGCATGTAGAAATTTATGATGTTACTTGGTCTTCTCATCTTTCTAAATTTTCTGATTTAAATGTATTTTTGTAAAATTTTAATATTCATTTAGAACTTTCAAAGAATGTATGAAGAGTTAATGTTTTCAATGTCGTTATTATTACTTCAATGAACAATTAAATCTCTGAGTATTAAAAATGAATTCTTTCACTTTTGAAATAATAAGCTGTAGTGTTAATAAATTTCAACATAGTGAGAAATCACTTGTCATCCAGTGCTGCTGAGTGCTCATAGTTCATCTTGAGTTAAACTTATGGTGAATAAGCTGGATGCATGAGAGTTTCCTTAATTTTCTCCTAGTGTAACAGGATTCCGATTCAGTTTTCATTAAAAAGTCCTACATGAAGACATCTGTCCTGAAACAGATAATTATTATATGTTTGACAAAATCAGTTAACCAACCTATTAACATGGCAAGTACTTGATGGCAATAAGCTAGTTATTGATTTCATTGATATAACTTCAATTATTCTAATTGTTTAGAGTTTTACAGTTGTTATGCAAAAGAAAACTAAAGTTTTAAGTAAAGTAAAATACTGATTTAATCAAAATTTTATTCACTTAGTATATTTTTTAGTATTCTTAATATCTTATCATATTTATGTTAGTGTATTAAAAAGATGTTTGCTAATATGCAGTTTTGTCTGTTTTAATTTATAATTGAATTTTTTTTATGACTGAAAGTTCTCTTTAGACAATTAAATGTAACATAAGCTTCAATATAAATTGCACATTTGTATCTTCACTTGCTCAGTATGAACTACATTTAATGCATATAAAAAATTAACCTGTTTCAATCTGAGTATCCTAATTTTTAAGAGTATTCATACATATTCAGTTCTTGTAATCTAAGTATGATAAATCTTCATGCTTAATGTTCAACCTGAAATTATTGCTTTAAATAATATTTTAGTTATTTTTTCTGTTGGAAAAAATATGTGATATTAACATATTTTGTTTAAAAAAAGGTTTGTGTTGCTCTTGTTTTCCATTTTTATTTAGAAAAAATTTAATTTTGACAAATAGTGTGTGCAAGTATTATTGGTAATTATGTAACTTTTAAATTTAGCCATGAAAAGTTATATTCAGCAACATAACCATACTTTAAATTAGTCTCCATTTCTGACTGCCTGTTCTCTATTTTCTAACTAAAATTAAGTATGTTTTTCCTTTGTTGTGTTTATAAATTTTTCCATTTCCAGCTTGTCCTCTGTTGGTAGTGATGAATCTAGGAAAAGCAAAGGCAGGTTTCCATCTCCTATGTCATCTCAAGATAGTATGATGTAAGTTAATAGTTTGAATGCATTAATTATTGTTTTAACAAGCATATTCTAAAATGTCATAATCTGAATTTAAACCTAATAATTTATAAGAGAGAATTACATATCAGTTATTTTCCCCCAAATTATTGCTTTAAATAATATTTTAGTTATTTTTTTTTTTTTTTTTGTGGGGGGGGAATATATGATATTACCATATTTTATTAAAAAAAGGTTTGTGTTGCTCTTGTTTTCCATTATTATTTAGATAAAATTAGGCTAAAATTATTTTATGATTTAAATCCCAATAAGTTTTTACAGGAGGTAAAATGTTGAAAATTGGAAATATATTTCTTAGAGTCTGTACTGCCTGTTTGCTTAACTAATTTTTATAGTTAGTTATTAGAATATTTTTATTCTGATACATAATATCAGGTTATTTTAAATTTTAATTCAGAGTTACTGATGGCCATCATTACTGTTATCTATTAGAATTACAATTATCAGAATATTTTTATATTGGTAACATAAATTCAGGTCATTGCAAATTCTAATTAAGAGTTATTAGTGACCTTTATTATAGTTCTTTTACTCAGGCATATAAATTATTAATGAGTTTACCCTTGAGTTTCAGATCTTTTGCTTAAATAAATTCAACATTCTATAAATTGCATTAAATGTGTAAATGTAGAATTCCCATTTAATGTTAACTTTTCTTTCTTTTTCTTTTCTTAACATTAAAAATTAATGTTAATTTTTCTTGATGAATTAAATTTTCAAGTATACAATTCCCTTTCCACTTCTATTTCAGCTTATCAAAGTTTGACTGTAATAAAATTAATGAAAGAATAAAAATAATTTCAATAACACAAATTATTCACCTGCAGATTGCAAAGCTGTTAAGTTCTTGTTTTACATGAGACAAGAAATTAAGTGTTGCTTAATGAAAATAAGACTTCAAAGTTTAAGGAATGTCTGTCGTCTCGATTTAGTATAGGATAAATTATAGTCTTGCTTAATAAAAAAGGAGAGAAATGCAAAGGCATACAGCCCAAATATGAATATAAAGAAATAAAAAAAATTTGCATCTACAGTTTGAAAAATTGCATTTTTGTTTTCAATCTAAAGCAAACATTTTGTAGTAGCATTTAATATTAGCAGTAGACTCCAACACTGGCTGAATGGACAAGACCTCTGGATATAGAGAGTTCATTCTGGGTTTCGTCCCTGGTAAGTGGACTGGCTGCATGGTTGGTTTCATGGTTTTCCACATGTGTAATGGGAATGCGAGCCAATTTCTCTTATAAAATCCACAACAAAGGATTCTGTCTCCCTTTGAAGATAGCCCTTATGTGCTTTGCCATATTCACATAATCTGAATTTAAACCTAATAATAGCAGTATGCTTGCATACAGTCTTCAATACTGTAGTGAATAATAAAGTTACATTACCTGTTTATCCTTATCAAATACCTTTCAGTGCTTCCATACTCTTGTTTTCCCATCTTTGAGCAGCATGATATTTCTGAGCTAGCCGTGAAGTGATGTGAAGGGTATCAAAAATCCTTAAGCCCTGAAATAACTTTAGTGTACAAACATCTAGAGTTGTAAAGTTGTGCCTACATACTGCCACTAACCACTATACCACCTCAGGTGGTATAGTGGTTAGGGACATTTACTGCTTAGTAGGGAAAGATATGTAGAAGACCCTCTTGGCTACCACCAGTGTCCTCCTTAAGAACTAGGGTGGAATTGCACAGTTAGGGCAGCAGGACTGTTTGTGTATGACCAGTGGTAAACTTCTAATGACCCGCCTGTTTTTACTTGTACCTGTGTCTACCTACTTGTGTCCCATTTACTTTTACTGAGACCTGTGTCTGCCTACAGTAGACGACTGTATTGTGTCTTATGAGACTGATTACAGTGTCTTTAGTGTCAATTTCAGAATCATGAAAAAAGGGTAGAGCATCATTAATTGAATATGAAATGATGCCCTTAATAATTGAGTAGCAGCTCTGAAATGAAGATTCTATGGTCCAGTCATTAGCATATATATATCATCAGATGTATACGTTATAGTATAACACAGATGCAGTTTTATTAATAAAACTAATATGTGTTAGTAAGGTGCAATTTATTATAGTAAGAAACTCTATTGCATTAGGCCATTAGAAAGTTGAAAAACAGAAAATAATGTTCTGGAATTATGAAATGCCATTAATAAAGAAAACACAAAATTATGTTCTGAAATTATGAAATGCCAGTAATAATAATAATTAATCATGCTTGATGTGTGTACTATCAGGAGCAATATGCATTTGTTTTCAAGTTAGAACTTCTTGTTGAATGTTCTTCATAGCATTTCAGGTGTTATAGTACCACATACTGAATAATGCACATTTATAAAGCATAATATCATGGGATAACAAGCTTAACACCTGCTCTTTCACATAAATTTACAAGAAGTCTAGTGAGTTTAGGATAGGTGACCTCAGTAGCCACTATACATTACCCCATAATTGATAATATTATACCTGAAATTTTCTGACAGAAAGTTTCACTTGCTGATGGGATGTGGCACCATCATACAGTGACTATAAAGAATGTAGATGGAATAAAATTAATTTTATTTATATGTAGTTTCAGCTTCAGTGTTTTCTCAATAATATTTGTTTCATAGCATATGCTTAAAAATGCCAGGATGAGAAATCATTTACATAGTTATTTTGAGTACATTTTCAAATAATACAACAGAACTCCAAATATCTGCACTAACTGAATCACAGCCTGCCTAGATTTAAAAAAATAAATAAATAAAAAATTACATATGCATAAAGAGGTGGCCTTTTTTTTTTAGGTTAATATTTATTCATCAGTATGCAAGTGAAGGAATATTATTTCTCCCTTTATCACATTTTATCTTAACAGTAATTAAGAAAATTTTTTATTCCCATAAAATAAATGTAATTTCTTCAGAAAAATTAAAATAGAAAATATTTTATTTGTCTAGATGCACAGCCATTGTTATTTCAACTAATGCAAGTGCAAAAGTTTTGTTTATATACATGCCTCAGTTAAAACTACAAATAATCTTTTTTTTTCTTTTGTTCTAAATTAAAATTATAATAAAGAGAGCAAAAAATTATTTTATATGTATAAAATAAAATTCATGTTGTTTCAAATGTAGATAAACTGACAACATTATTTTTATTGACATGTGGTTTTAAAATTAATAATTAAATACCTATTTATTAGAAACTATGTGTTATATACTTTATCTTTTGTAGTACAGTCAAAAGTCGTTAATCCGGACACCCATAATCCGGAATGATCTATGATCCTGACCTCAAAGCTACAAAATTTTTGCACATGCTTCAACGCATAATGCGTTCATGCATGCTTATAGGCGTTTACCCATGCGCATGTGCATGTGCGCATGCACGTTTAATGTTTAATACCGTCCATTAAACGTGCATGTGTTTAATGGACGGTATAAGCTAAGCTAAAATTATCTAATTATCTATTTCAGTTAATGTTGCAGATTGCGTTGTTTCTTAATCTTCGAATTGGATCCGACTTATTATTTTTTGCAGACTGTTAGAGCAATTTTATAAAAGTAAGCTTGAACTTTCGATTATGTCAAATAGAATTTCCGATGCTGGAGCTGCCAAAGGACCTACAAAGCGAAAGTATGTTTTGATATCCATCAAACAAAAAGTGGAATTGGTGCAAAAAATGGAAAAAGGCATATCCTTTGTTTCTCTAACCATTCCAAAATCTGTTTATCAATTTCACGCTGCTCTACGGGGGGGGGGATGTCGCAACGCGCAATGAATTGGAAGTTGATCTGTCAGCACTATCCTTATCTTCAGGGCAGATATTTTTATTTTATTCGGCTTATAATTCCTTACTAAATGTAGTATTTCATCTCGATGTACTCCGTCTTTGATGATTTAAATCACATTCCTCGTCATTATAATTCGCTTCCTATAGTGAAGAAAGTGACACAGTGGTTATTGAAAACGAAAAAATTTCGATTGACAAATTATTCGGTATTCTCGACACAGCAATTATAGGACTTGAACAGCGGAACTTTGTAACTGAACAAGAAATTATGTCTGTTTATAGAATTAAAGAGAAAGTATTATCACATAAAACGAAGCAACTTAAACAACTTACGTTGAAAGAAGTGTTTAATAAAGTAAACAAATAAATATTAAGCTTTTTTTTTTTTGTAGATTTTAATACCCTTTAGATCATAATTGCTCTTTGTTTCATAAATTACGGTTTCATATTTTTAATTTTATATATTCTGCATGCCATCTTACCAGATTTAAAATGATGATCTATAATCTGGAAAAATCGATAATCCGGAATTGCCAAAGTCCCAATGAGTCCGGATTAAAGACTTTTGACTGTATTTAAGTCAAACAAGAAGCACTATAAACGGTTAAAACAGATAAATAACAAGAACAACAAACTTAATTATAAGTACTAGCTTGGGAAGCAGAGCAAGCAATTTGGGTAATTCATCTTCCATTGTTTTGATATATGCAGTAGGCTTCCTAATTTATCTACTTTGCTACTGCATTTTTTCTTGCCAGTTAGTTAATTTTACAGTAATTAGTTAGCAGATAATATCGATACATTGAAAACTTAAATCTAAATTACGTTTATGCATTATTTCCCCTTCATTCTAATTTTTTGTATCATTCGTAATTATGTAAATAATTTGAAGGCTTTTATTTGCAACAGATCATAAAGGAAAAGAAAGAAAGCTCAATATACATAACGATCAATTTTATTTTGTCATAGATAAATGGCGATTTAGTTTCTAGTCCTAAAATTGTGACATTCTAAAGTTTTAAAAAAATGCTATACATATGTGCATTGAAGATGAAAAATGTACAATAAATTTACTAACATTTATTGCTGTAGATGAATTTACTGTAGATGTAATATTGTAGGTATAATAAATATAATCTTTTTTTTCATCTGTTAAATAAAAATACTGTTGTCAGTATT